TTTAGCAAGTAGCTATTTATTATTAGCATTATTCTTCCGACGTCTGATTTATTTTTAATTATAGGAAATGCGTTTTTCTAAGGTACATAAACTTTTGGGATTAACTATATAGCCAATACATCCTTAATCAATCGAGACACATAAACGGATCTCTTGATAAAAATTCGCGAATTGAAGCCATGATTTAGTGTTTAACGCAATAGTTAAAATCGTCGAGAATCGCGATTCGTTAGGTGCGCAAGGCGAGGAACGTGGACAAATGTGTTTTCAACCTTTCGAACAAGTTATGGAACTCGCACGAAATTACTTTTCCATCGATTCAATCGTTTCCGGAAATTTTAGAACAGTCTGTTTAGGACAAACGTGGTGATGAACGAGGAGGTGCGATGGAACGTTCGGCCAGGTTCGGCGATTGGTCCGAGCATATGAGTTCTTCGGGCAAGAAGTATTATTACAACTGTAAAACGGAAGTGTCTCAGTGGGAGAAGCCACGGGAATGGATCAGTCGAACAGAAAATCGACAACGTCAGTCGAACGATTACTCTTCTAGGTCAAGTACGTATAACAATATATTACACGTGATCGAGAGACGGTCGATCCGTGCTCGTTACGAGCATCTGAAATATCAAGAATTATTCAGTATAGGAGATCATCGTATTCGATTTCTTTGTTCGCAGGTCACGATAAACATTCCAACTCGCGGTCAAATAGCAGTAGCAGCGTGCGAGATGGTAAATCGTCGCGTCAGTCCGACAAACGAGAATATTGGAGTTGCAGCGGAGGCGGCGGTGGTAGTAGCAGAGAAGACGTTTCGGTGAGGGAGAGGGAGAGAGAAAAGGAACGGGAGAGAGAACGCGAACGTGAAAGAGATCGGGAAACGTGTAGAGAAGAAACGGGAGTGGAGCGTCAGGCTCAGGACATGGACATCTCTCCGGGTGATTCTACACCAACGTCGGAACCTCTGACTCACGATCCACTGCCGCAAGGCCCTGTTCTGTTGGCCACTGGTACGTTCCGTTCGACCGTCGTACAGAAAACTGGTGTACGTGCATACTTACCAATTAAATCGGTCGCAGCATTACCTCGATTAACATCGCATCCACCGTCTACACCACAAACACCTGGCAAGCTCAGTTCCCCAACGCAGCAACAAGGGAATAGTAATGCTCCGGGACCACCGGTTTCGTTGGCAAATCTTCCGAGACTTCTATCCCAAATTACAGGCAATAAGGAACAACCGGACATTACACCGCAGAAAGCACTGCAAACGGTCGCTATCCTGTTGTCTAGACAAGTAAGTTCATGCCCCCCGTCAGTGTAAACTTGGACTGTGTTCGGAGTTAAAATTAAGTTTTTTATTACCAACCGCTTTGTCTTTAGTACGTTTGAACTATAATCTCGGCAAGTGCGTTTACAAGCGAGCGAGTTAAACTTTGTATAGAGCAGAGGATAATTAATTTTTGCAGCAATCTGCTAGCGGAGACCGAAATAATAGTGGAAACGACGTGATGGTCCCGCTGAAAGTCGACACGAGCGGCAATGTTACAAGCGAGGGACCACCTACTCCTACGCATTCGGAAACTCAGGATTGCATCGATGTACGAAAATGTATGTTAACGATCTTCTCTTTTGTCTAGCGAATCGCGTATCGATCGATGGTCGTCTATTAACCGTGTACTTCTTTTTCCCTTCCGCAGTGACAAGTCCTGGGGGGACGAATTCCGGAGTACAAGGTTTAAGCTCATTGCAAAATCTTAGCACATTAGGTTCCCTTGGAAATTTAAGTAATACAGGTTTACAGGCATTGTCTAGAGTGCAGCCTCCTTTAACACCTTCTTTAACACCATCACTTGCTAATCATTATCGGGAAGATTTAACGCAACACGTGCGTGCCTTTCCTGCTGAAATACTTGAAAAACAGGTATGTATATACATTATACACATATGTGTTAATCTTAAACGTCGCGGAGTTCGATAAACAAGATTAAATGATACGGTGAGAAATGTTCGTGTGACCGTTGTTCCCAGGCACAGAAACTTAGCGAAGAAGCACATACAATGGGAAGTTTGCAGTGTACAAGAGTCTCGGCAGAGTTAAAAACCGCACGGTCGATAGTGAGGCTGACGGAAATTCAAGCGACGTTGCAAGAACAAAGGTAGGAACGACGTATCATCTTTTCTTAGCCGCGTGGGATCTTTAAAAATTATTTCGAAAAGCTACTTGACATCTTTTACATCTTTCACATTCTAGGATATTATTTCTCCGTCAACAAATTCAAACGCTGGAGGAGCTAAAATCCCAAAATTCCTTCATGTCTGACGATTCTTAGTGTAAGAAACTTTATAAAGTAATTATAATTACAGTCTATAATTAATTCATGCAAAAAATAAAACATAATTATTAATATTCTCATTAATATTGAATAATTAAGATTGTACCTAAATTATAATATCATGATAGAAGTGATAAAAAAGAAGAAAATAGTAATGAAATGAATGGGCTGCCCAGAGAGGTTTGGTCTTTCCGTTTTATCAGCCGAAACGAGTCGTACTACAATTTCGAGGCCCACCTCTCTGGGAAGCGCAGGAGGCCTATCCACACGCAGACTCGACACACTAATTAAATAGAGGATGAATCTATCAGTTCATTGCAAACTATTGAATTGTCCACATCGTCTTGTATTACCTATGTTATATACGTGTCAATGTTTCATATCCCATTAAGCGGCATTTTAACTAGTTGAAACATTTTTGTTGTAAATCTCGGAATAAAATTCGTGCCAGAAGTTTCAATTCAATTCTTTATCGCCATTGTCTCACCTGATTCCCACGTGTCTGGAACGAAACTAGCTTTGCTCTATATCGTAGCCGATCATTCAGTTTCATTCTATCGAAAATGTTTGCCCTTGAACGTTTAACGGCATATAAGAAAAGATGAGAAAACGGAAATATTAATTCTTTGTGTATGACGAAATCTACTAGTGGATGAAATACGGAAACTTGTATAAAATTTGTAAATAATTTTAGAGATTTACAATAATTCTAATGTATGTATTATTATAATCGTTCTAAGTGTTTTTTTAAAAGCACCCTAATACCGCATCGACTAACGCATATTGTACAGAGCGTGCCAAAATCGGATAAATAAGCGAAAGAACACTTGGTGTATCTTAATCGTAGATAATTTTTATTTTCTGCATGACTCCCTCGTACAGCTGTGTGCAACATAAGGAAATTAATTATTATCATTAATTATTATTATTAATCATCGTGTAACCGTTGTAAGCGAGAACCGAATACGCAGATCTTTTGTAGCAGACGATGTGACGCACGATAATGAATTAGAATTTTTAATTAATGACGCAACCGGACTATTTTACGTGGAACTGTTGGTGTTTAACTCTTTTCGATAATTTACTTTTTGTAATGTTCTTTTCCGAGGTGTGAAAATAATACCCGGGCCAACGCCCGTTCTCGTTCCGATCAAATTAACGGAAAGACATATTTATCTTTCCCCTTGCTTTTCCTGTATCATCGATAGATTATACGATTAAAATAGAATATTTTTTACTAAAAAGCACGTAGAGTAGACGTAGACAATATTATTCATCAGGATGACAAAACCACGAATATTATTAGTAAAGTTACAATTGTGGATTTCTTAATTTGTATATTTTCTTTGAGGAACTGTTAAGGAGTGAGCTTTGATAATTACAGAAATAAAAAGCAACGTGAAATGTAATGTATAATCATGAAACAAATACATTTGATCCAAACGCTTCGAGATTGCGACTGAATTCTAATGTTCGTTTTCGGATTACTTTTTTTCTATATATGCGAACCAAAGGGTTTTTACGTAGTACTGACAATCGCGTATTCTCTTTCCCGTGAACAGAACATTTCATTTTATTAGATTACTAAAAGTTAAATAAAAAATTTAAACGCGTAGCTATCGCGCGAAGAAAATTGTACATGATTAAAAACGCCTTGGCTCGCATTTTCATCTAAATGCCCTCCTAAAATCGTTACTTTTACTACCTATCAAATAAAAACTGTAAACCGAAACGGAATATCATTGTTTTTCAAGTTGATATTGTTTTCCGTATATCCTAGTACTGTATAATATTAATTATTATTGGGTACAGCGGAGGATAGTATTAAGAATAATAATGGTAATAATGTTAACGTGAACGTGTAGCCTATTCCCGGTGTTTCTCAACGCACGAGCTCCATAGCCCTCGTCATCATGAAAAATGTTACGCCATCAAAGGAACGTCGCATCGTTCAAAAAATTATACAATTATGAGGCTATCGAGCTTTTTCATTCGTCACGATTACGTATTTATACATTCGTTCTGCAAATAGATGCTCTACTTCCATTCTATGTAATATATATTATATCTATATATATATATATCAATATTTTAATATTATAATCCCGTGTTTATTACTATTTACGTACTTTTGAATAAACCAAATATGTCTGTCTTCATGTTTTCCCTTTAAATAAAATATTCGAAATTCAACAGTCGTTTCCGTGTTCATTCTATGGTAAAAAGAACGACGCTGGTCTCCTATCATTACCAGTATCGGTCTTTTTTAACGTGCCTCAGTTTTGTGCGAAGTTTTACAGATTCGTCGAATTATAAATGGGCCTGTCGGTTGAGAAACACCGATGATACTCCTTTACAATATTTATCTAACATTATACCATGTCATGAGAACGTCGGAACGTCCCCATAGCACCTGAAGCATACAGTGAACATTCTCCCATGTACATGTTTTATTTAATTACAGGCAGTCATTGGACTTATTTCATAACAAACTCTCTCATTTGTGAACATCAGATCGTATCGATTAATACATTCTGAATGTAATCGTTAGAGATATCCGTGTAAATTGAGTACGATACATAATTTTTTCGTGGACTAAGATTATAATAAGGCCTCAGAACATTTGACGCATCTTTTACGCGTCCCGTAACTCGCAGAATTTTTATTTCTGGAACAGATATCGTAGGTCTCTCAATAATCTCCTTCTATATGAAAAAATCATAATCGTTTCCCTGCCAAGTTCTTTAGAAATCATGCTTGACAGCCGATCGCAGGGATAATTAAAATGAACAGCGCCCAGAGACAAACGTCCTACGAGTCATGGGACGTCAGATATCTATTGTTGAACAATTTTAATGTAGTGCACTTCAAGTATTTACGTAAACACATCGCAATATGGAGAGTAAAAACTGCTACAAAACAATTCCAATACGATTTGCTTTACAATTCATTTAATAGACGTATCTAAGTCGCGCGCCTCCGTTTACGTTTTGCTTTGTCTCTTTCTTTAAGGCCATATACGAGATTTGAATATAAAGAGTTACTCTGCCCCCCAATCTCTCGGGCAATGTTTCGTACATTTTATCAATTTGGAAATTTGTCTAGGGATAGACAAATGGACGACACAGCCTCGACAGAGAATGTTCACAGTGTAAGACAGCAGCGTAGACATATCTCAGCGCAGCCTCACTTTACCACTAATCAGTGTTTCAGCTGGTAATTATTATACAAAGCTATAAAATCTTCCCATTATTACTCTTCAATCAAGTTACACGATATATAACTGTGCGCGGAAGTACCCTTCGTAGACTTAAAACCATTCTTACGTTTTCTCTTTACACAAGGGATAACTAGTCGAGAGATACCTCTGCAACTATAATATTATAACTACTCGTCCTCTTCCATTTGGTGATGAACATTGAATATCCTTTTTCATCGAATCGCTACGTACCTCGTTTCATAACTTTAGATCATTACCTTAATCAACGATAGAGATTAATCGTAAATCGTTTTAATTACACGAAGGAGAGATTAATTTTTACGTCGATATATTTTCTTCTCTTTCTTTACATATTTAGCAATACTGTCATAGCGCGATAGTTAACAGCTACGAAGGGCGGTCGCGGAGATTTGCAAACCATCAACGAGGGAAATCAAGATTTATCAGCCTGTCTATTATCCTCCTGATAGATCTGTGACGCGGAAACTAAAGAAACGAATCTCTTAAAATCTACAAATGTAAATATTACACAACACATAGAGTAACAATATATATAACAGTTGCTTTTGTACCTGCGTATCTATTATGGCATAAGGTGGGGTCTTGTGCCGAGTTATTCTTGGCTACTGTCGATTTTTAAGCCAACATCATAGAGATATAACTACCCTAGACTTAAATAGGACGTGCATGATTTGTTCATTTATATTAATTCACTTATCATCGACACGTCGGCTAACTACTTTCTGCATTTCGGGACTTCTAAAAAGAATATCTGCTCGCACCGGTTTGCTTCAAATGGTATCGGAAACGGCCTCGTTTATCGTACTACTATCATTTACAGAAACTAATATCACTCTCGGTAAAATTGCACACGTTATAAAAATCTATGATTCCGCGAACATTGTCATCAAAGAAAATAAAAAAATATAAAACGAACAACATAAACCACGGGACTGCGTAACGTTTTTTTTCTCCGGCAATTCTCACTTCTTATACACCGTCGTTCCACTAATTTCGTTGTAATTTGTCCCCTTTTGCCGCGATAAAGAGTGATACGTTTTAACATAGGTAAGAGTAATGAACAACGTAGAAACAACAGTTTTAGAGCTCCGCTATAAAAATACATTTGATCCGGTAACAAATTAAAAAGTAAAGGAAATACACAGAAATAAGTAACTTTTTAGAAGCCCCTCAATAATTTATCCCCGATCGACATACGCCGTAATTCGTCTCCCATTCATTCTATGATAAAACACGCAACGTTACTATAATTTAATCCTATTTAAAATGGCATTCAGCATATTATTCTTATAGGATTAGTTCATTCGATATATAAAAAAAATATACAATTTTTCGACTACTCGATACAATCGTTCAGTAATCGTGACTTTGTACTATCCGAATGCCATTTTTTCTTTTTTTTCCCTTTAATAATATGATACATTGTTTCGGGACCAGTGCTACAGAGGCTGTAGGACTGTCCGCAGAACCCTAAGTAAAATATAATTAATGTCTATACGCAGTGGGATTTCATTGATATTCAGTCGATTCACAATACTCGTAACCCGTCAACATTTTATAGAAAGAAATGAATAAAAGAAAACTGTTTTTTTCCGTCAAACCGCGTATTATCAGCCCCTTCGCGTAAGCTCCTTCAAGTTCACATACCTGACCATTCAAAGTCGTGTATACTGAATTTATTAAAAATAATTAGTCAGGTAAGATTGTTCATTTTTTTTTCTTTTACATACAAATATAAGAATAAAGCCATTGCCATTCGCTTGCAACCACTTCTTTCGTTACAAAAAAATAATCAATTATTTCGGCACTGTTTAGTCCCTCTCTTTCTTTACCTCTCCCCTCTGTTATAAAAACATTGTCACGAGTTGTGAATGACCTGTACTTACCTGAGGGATATGGCTCCCACTCTCAATCATCAACATCCTTCATAAATCTCGCGTGCGTTCTCGGTGCATCGTTTACGTTCGTTCCATCGAACTACTCCTCGCGGTTCTTATCCTTTCTTTCTTTTCTTTCAGCAAATCAGTGTTGTCACGTCAGTACATATATATGTATACATATATAGCGTCTTGTGTCGGGCAAAGGTATTTTAGCAATGCAATGGCATTTATGATCCGTCTCGTGTTTGCGAAAGTGGCTTCATGCCAACGTCTAAGTATCGTTTCGTTATTATTGTATAATTTAAATAATTTATAATTTATACAGATCCTGTAGAACACAAGTGGTTGTACGCAAGCATGTGTATCCCCATTGACAGATTAATATATTACATAAAAATGCTTGGTATACCACCTCGTATATGCGACCGGTCGGTATATGATATTTTCACTGTATCATACTGTAACTTTAGCGTATATCCAAAAAACGTGTTTGAGCGCACGGTTGCATGAAATCGAGATACATAAATATATAAAAAAAAAAAAATGCATCCGAGCGAAATGTGCATTTAGGGTTTTAAGTTACTTGCCCTCTACCGTATTCTTCTAAAAGCCTTCTTGATCTTCCGTTGCGGCACGGGAGGAGCACTGAAATCAGAACGATCACGATTTAGAACGTCGTGCTTTTATTATCAATGATTCTAACTCATCGATGATTTATACGTACTTGAATTGCGGAGGCACGTTGCCACCAGTGAAGTTAAACGACGGCGGAGTGTTAGGATCGAATGTCGGTGTACTACTAGGAGGATTAAAGGTGAATCCCGTTGACGGTGCTGAAGCGGGTGCCTAGAAAAATTCGATATAATTAATTGGACCATCGACGAAGTCCGACTAATAGATTCTTATCATCGTTACGCTTACCGCGCCGAAGTTGAAACCACCGGTGGACGAGGCAGCGGTAGCTGTAGCCCCAAAATTGAATCCGGTGTTCGCTGGAGCAGCCGAGAACGACGAAGATGCTTGATTTTGTGCATCGGGTTGCGATGCCCCGAAAATCGTGTTCGTAGGTGCGGGTTGAGCGAACGTCGGTGCTTCCGGTTTCGGCGTGTTGAACGTGAACCCGGAGGTGTTGCTCGACGCCGGGTTGTTGAACGTTTTCCCGAATAAACTGCCAGTTTGCGGGGTAGTTGAAGTACTGCCAAACGTGAACAACGGTTTCGGAGGTTCAGCGGGATTGGCCGCGGCGGAGAAGTTGAACCCGGCCGCTGGTTTTGCTACTGGTTGAGCAGGAGTAGTGCCGAATGTAAACAAGTTCGTATTCGACACAGTGGTCTCATTTGTCTTCGAAGTGGATCCGAATATGTTCGGTGTGGATTCGGTGTTAAACGTCGAAGCGGCGCTGTTACCAAAGACGGGAGTGACGGTCGACGGTCCACCGAAGAGACTCGGCGCCGCCGACGATGCACCGAAAGGTGTCGGTGTCGGAGTTGGGCCAGTTGCCACTTGCGGAGTCGGATTGAACAAAGACGTCGGTTTGTTTTCCGTGCTCTCGAACACGGGCATCTTCGTCTCGGTCGAGCCGAAGATCGAAGGCTTACTTTCCGTGCTGCCGAACGCCGGCACTTTATTCTCCGGCATGGCGAACGTGGAAGGTTTGCTCGTGCTCGCGGTACCGAACGTGGAAGGTTTACTCGTACTCGCGGCACCGAACGTGGGCTGCTCGTTACTTCCTGTCGACGTCTGTCCGAACGTTGGTGCGGCCTTCGAATCGTTACTAGTGAACAACGGCGTCGGATAACTGGCCATGCTTGGGAACAACGATGTCCTAGGAGAGGCGTTCTGCAATTCACCGAAGGTCTTAGGCATTTCTTCCTTCGACTTGCTCTCACCGAATTTGAATGTACTGGGTAAAGTAGAAACAGAAGACGTCGTTGTCGGCTGATTGAACGATACACTCGACGCTGTTTGGGTAGTTGCTTTTGGCTCCATGAACATAAAGGAAGATTGAGTAGAGGATGGAAGACTTGACACAACGGTCGTGGTGCTGCTAATCGCGACCGTGCCACTCGGTAAACCGAACGGGAATGTAGCGATTGGTCTAGGTCCCTGGCTAATGTTCTGAGTTACGGAAGATAAAATAGCTGCGCTGGTAGTTACGGGTAGTGGTACGGTAGCTTCTTTATTCGACTTCGAAGCTTCTGTCACAGAATTTCCAGTTAAAGGAGTTTGTTTCTCTTCCTTCATACCTAATTGTACGGTCGTCGGTTTAGGAGCGCCAAAGGTAAAAGTAGACGAAATCGTTGTAGAAGCAATCGTGTTCGTTTGCGACTGTGTATCATTTCCAATCGTGGCACTGTCACACTTCGGAACACCGAATGTGAAAACGGACGTTGGCTTTTTTTCTGCTGTTTCCACGTTCTGTTTCACCGCAGACTTTTCATCAGTCGGAACACCAAATCCACTAGCCGACGTCGAAGTGTTCTCGGGTTTCTGAACCTCGCTCTTCTTTTCCTCCTTTTGGATACCAAACGTGAACTGACCAGTCGACCCGATTTGCGAAGTCTCGCCAAATTTAAATCCGTTCGTAGACGCGGTACTATCAGTCTTCTCTGGGTTAGCTTTGTCGACACCAAACTTGAAGCCACCGGTGTTCACGGGCATGCCGAAGGTAAATTGTAGATTGGAACTGGAGGTCGCAGTTGTAGTATTATTTTCCAACTTCTTCGTTCCTGGCTTCAAACCGCCACAGGCTACGCATTCGACAACGTTCGATTCGTTTTGCACCATGCATGTGTCGCAACTCCATGCTCCTTCAGGCTTCTTGAATTTGTCGCCGAATCCGTTCGCGAGTGCGACTGGAGGAGCACTCGTGACCGCGACTCCAGCGTTAGGTCTGGTTGTGTGACAACACGGGCAAGACTCGGCAGAAGTAGGATTTCTGACCATACAACTGGGGCATTCCCACGTATCTTTATTAGCTTTAAATTTGATCATAGTCTCATCTTTAAATTTGGGTAGAACGCAAATGGGTTCAACCGTTTTACTTTCGGAAATATTCTTCTGCGAATCGATCATCTTCGATTTCGATGTATTGCAAGAAGTGCACGACGACGAGGTCTCTGGATTTTTCGACTTGCAATCAGAACATTCCCAAGACTTCTCCGCGTGTTTATCATCGCCACCGTTGTTCGATTTAGTTTCTTGTTTCGCGTTCGGTTTAATCGTGTTACACGCGACGCACTTAACATCGGTTTGCTTGTTCCTTACGAAACACGACGCGCATTCCCACTGAGTACCCGTAAGTTTGAACTGAGATCCAAAACTATCGTTCGCTGCAGTCTTCGATTCATTGGCATTGCTCGACGCCGACGACGACGGCGGTGTAGAAGTCTTTTTATCTTTAAGATTCGATCGTGCAGCTTTACAAGCAAAGCATTGCGCTTCGGAGCTGCTGTTCTTGGACAGACAATCGGGACATTCCCAAACTGAATTAATTTCTTGCGTATCCGTACGCTTTTTAACAGTATCCTGTTTACTCGCATCGAACATCGTTTCACTCCACGATTCTTTATTCGTATTCGCGTCGCACGATTTTTCAGTTTTCGTACCAAGCACGTCCATGACGCTTCCCGTTTTCAGCGGAGTTTTGTTCTTCACTTTCTCCTTCACTTTCTCCTTCGGTCTAGGAGCCGTCGATGAACCAGACCACACGAAGTTCTGCGCCACGGAAGGTACACAGTCGCTAGACGGTGCATTGGATTTAACATCGGTTCTCTTCAGCGGCGATCCCGAATCTTCGACCAGCTGCCTGTCAGCACTGATCGGGCTACTGAACGTGAAGTTGTTGATGGACTTCAGATCCTTTACGGCGTTCGATATTTTAATAGGGCTCGTAAATACAAAGGTATTCCCATTGTCTGTACTAGTCTTGTCTGGTGCGTTTGCGGTCGTGGGTTGCATGAAATTGAAGTTCGGTAAAGAAGATATTGGTAAAGGTATATTTGGTAAATTGACTGGCTCGACCGTCTCCTCTTCGAGATATGTTCCTTTACGTTTAAACCCATGATCCTTCCTCGCATCTTGCGCCCTGTAAAGATTGCACGTAACAATTAATACAAGATTACAATACGATTTGGTACACAATTATATTAGTTCTATTTACCTGAGATGATATTCCTGCGGAGCCGGTGGTTCGCTACGAGCAGAAACAATTTTTCTAGCCGCGGCAGTCGTATCTTGTAATTTCTGGCGACGTTTTAATCTCAATATATCGGGTACCGTCGGTACAGTTAATTCTCGAGTCAAATGACGTAATCCAACTTTCGTAGATACCGTCTCTTCCCTCGTTCTCTTTTTACTCGTCAACGACGTGTTGTTCATCATCTTCAACGGAATCTTTTTAGCATCGGTTATCGGAGAAGAAAAGTGTTCTAATGCCTCCAATATCTTTTTCGCAGTTTGACTCATTCCGGATGAATCAACTCCGGCTGCGGTAGACGGTTTTACTTCAACGTAGGTTCTTTTAGGAGCTGAAAGTTGAACCTGAAATCGATGATACATGTTTTTATAAATAGTTTCAAAGCAGATCGAAGAGGAACGATTTGAACGAAGAAACGCTTACCTCGTTTGCACTGTTAAACAAATTGCGGCCTCGTTTGTAAAGGCCAGCTGCGTTTGCCCCACCGAAGGTGATGTTTCCACTGTAGAAAGGTGACGCCAGGGGAGACGCACGATCCGGCGTGTTAGTCATGACGGACGCATTGAAACTTGGTCTGCGACTGCTCAAAGAGTCTCGAGCAGTATTATCTAAAAATAAGGATCTCGGAGACTGCATATGATTTGCTTGAAAAAAGAAAAGTAGAATTTCTCTTTAGATCAAATGAATCTCGATGAGAGAAAGTATCTAATTTAGATTACTCACTGAAACTTAGTTTGTCATCGTGACATCTTTTATTATTAGCAAATGAGGAATTATAAGAAACGTTTGACGGGGCTTCCTGTCTGTTCGTTTGCAGTATAAGAGAGCTGCAACTGGTGCTCTCGCTGGATTCCGAGTTGTCATCCATGCCGTTTGCGGTTCCATTGTTCGTAGTAGAAACTAATGAATTTAACTCAGACCTCTGAGATCCTGCGTTCCTAATATTCGAATGCGTCGCGGGTGTAGAAGATACTAAATGGCTCATCCCGCTTGGCCCAGCCATTACAGGTTTACAAAAATCTTCGGACTGCGGGAAAACGATTAATTGGTAAAGATTCTTCCATCGATCACTCATTTTCTTTCGTCTGTGTATTATATTTACCGTCTCGTCGTGAATCGAGTATTGTTGTTTAGTCAGACTGGCCGTGCTGTTCGGCTTTGTCGGTTTAGCTCTTGACTGAATTGAGAATGTACCAGGTGGATGAGGAACGTCCATACGGATACATGGTCGCTTCAAGGGTGGAGGTTTCTGTACATCCTCCTCTGGCTCGACTTCTTCAAGTTCACTGTCCTCTAAGTCTTCTTCTTCGTTTTGAGATGTGTTAAACCATTTACTGATCCATGATCTTTGCGGTATGAGATCTGTTACTTTAGTTGCCACTTTCTTTACAAAAGACTGGAATAAAAATGAAGTAGGAACGGGTGAACCAAGAATCAATTCAAACGATGTCAGATGTTTTACCAATGAACGTTCTCATCGGAATACGCGTTAAAATAAAAAATCGGGGATCGCACAGTATAGTTTTCTAAAAATCAATCGATACGCGACGCGCTGAAATAAATATAGAGAAAATCACGGGTGAGGAATTATCTATTAAAGTATAAGGTTCAGCTATAAATATTATGCCAAACAAATACACGTAATTGCGTAAACATAGTAATCGCGGTATGTAAAACGAAGTCGTTATTAGCGTCGGAGGTTGAGACGTTCGATCGAAAAATAAATTGATCGCGTCGCGCGTTCTACGAATCAATCGGATCCGAAATGTATATTGTAAATATTCGTAAAAAACGATCGCTAACAGGGATTACGAGGTGTTGCATGAATTTGCGCAAAACGCGATCGTTCAAAGTTACGCGTGTCTTTCTTACGTATTAAAACGTGCACTGTACACGGATAAGATTTTAATATCGCCGAGTTGACAGTATGACGAGCGTGCGAGCGGCTCGGAATGCACGGTAAACGCTCGGAGGGATTTTCCTCGTAAGGAATCGCGTTTCAAGGCTGGATGCTATAGGCGTCTCAGTAGATATCTGGTGGCGAGGTAGTATGGGATAGATTGAGGTTACCGAGTGGACTCACATAACCGTGACATCGTCTAGGTTCCACGAAAGTGCATCTTAGAAAAAGGGCGTTCGCGCGTAGGGTACTCCGAAGGAGGTCCGGCGTGCAGCGTAAATTCGTCGGCGAGTCTAATTCGGGCGTTAAGGCGCGAAGGACCGTTGGATGCGGAGGAGGAGGCTCGTTTCTGCCACGGGGAACTCATGCCAAGAAGTTGCTACTCACATTGTTTGCGTCGTAGGGTTTCGTATTACGGGACGACGACCGTCTTCCACTCAGATTCTTATTCCCTTTGGCCATGATCGCACTTAGCACTTATTTACGAGTAAAAAACGCGTGTAAACGTCTTCAAACGGCGCATCCCAGAGTTTGTCAGCGGATCACTACCTTCGTCACTGAAACCCACGAGAGAAAATATGGCTGCCCCAAAGACCGCCACCAGGGCGCCAGGTTTCTCTCTATGCGCTCCCAGCGCTTGCTTGTCCATGTGACGCCGTATCCGCTCGTGTCGTTGAGGAATTTCGATCACAGCACCGCGCGTTGAGGAATAGTGAAACTCAGGTTTCAATTACAAGATTCGAGGAATTTCTTTCTCATTATCTCTCAATGACATAACGGCTGAGATACGAAATACAACATACGGACATACGGCTGTCCCTCAAGTTTCATTTAGATATCTATCCAACTTTATATAGGATTGCGTCCCTTAAATTTTTCGTCTAAGAATCGTCTAAGAATCTAACTTAAAACTAAAGGTATCTTCTTTCACGATCGTCTACGGAAAAGAGAATGCGAATGCCGCCTTCCTCTTCTCATCTAATGATAGCATCGCGATCGCCTGTTCCTACTGTTAATACAGGAGATACCATCCAAATTTTTCAAACTTTATCACACGTTCATTAAACGAGAATCTTAACGAGAGGATCAGGCAGGGTACTTGGAAATTGCTCGTGAACTACTCTTCAAAAAGATGGAACCACCGCATCTACTGTAAACCCGCGACGACCCTTTCGTCCCTGTATCAATGCAGTAGTTCGATTTTCGGAGATAATCCTCGACCCGCCAAATATGTCAGGAGCAGATCTGACTCAGGTCCTGACAACAGAAATGAGATCGTCCAGAGATGCTGTACCTTTGCCGTAAAATCCTGCGGCGAGAGGGAGCGCCGAATTTATAAATTATTTGAAATACAACTGGATTCGTCAGAGGATGAGGATCGGGCATTCTTGGACAGCGAGATAGCTATTACGCGATCTTTATTTAAAACTTCAAATAGGCTACAGGATATAAAAATGGTCAAAGAGTACAGTGGGAACGAATACTTCGGACTAGATAAGTTTTATTCAGAAATTAAAGTGCGTAAAATGTGCTATAATCAGGTTGAAACTAATTGGAATGATCGATACGATGAGTATCGGACAGAAAATTCACATTGCGAAACGCTACGTTGATCTACAAATAAATTTTAATTACCAATCGATCATACATACAATGTAATATCAGTTCAACGTCGAGCACGTTTACGCATTCCATAAATATAAACAAAATATAAACTATGCTATTTCTCTATTAGTACTTGATCATGTTCGATCTTTCATCGTGGACAATGGCTGTACTACCATTTATCGAGTCGATTAATCATCACCGTTAACAACCATCCCGGTGACGCGTTTTCAGTGTTATTTATACATACGTTTAAAGTCGAAGCGGTGGATGAGATATACATAATATGCGGTCACTTCAGGAAAGGTCTGACAGGAGATCTATGGCAGGAGTCACGGTGGTAGTGATTCTATCTTGAATAGCTTCTAGTTCCTCTTTAGGCAAATTTTCTGTAAGCCAAGCGTCGATCACCGGGAGATTCTTCTCGTTCCATTCCTTCCTCTCTGCTTGAAAGTTCTTCGGTATCCTGAGATCGGACCGGGTCGATTTGAACTCGTCTTCATGATTCGCGTACAATTTCTGCACCAGGTCGAGGCCCTTTTGGGTGCTAAACGAGGAAGAGGCCGATTCCATTACGCGCCGCCAGAGATATGGTTTGTCCTCGAATCGCTGTTTTACAGCGTCCCAATTGTTCACAAAGAAGTTGAACACGGTTGTGTAACCGCTTGACCTGCCGCTCAGCGTGACTAATATCAATTGGATATCGGAGTCCGAGAACGTTTTCTTGTCCTTGTCGAAAAACGTTGCGTTCAATAATCTATAAATTCCGTGAAATTAAATTAAATTAAAATAAAATTAAAATTATAAAAATATCGACGACGATCAGTTTCCTGGATCTCGATCATCGTAGCACCGTGCCGGTCGATCGAACTTGGATTACCTTTCGATCTTGTACGCGTCCTGCGAACAACCGGCCAACGACTTTAGAAGATAGGTCCTTTCGTTCTGCTTCCTCTCCGGGCTGCTCTGTGGGAAGTTTATCACGCGCTGAAGTCCGAATTCCCATTCCTCTTCGGTGCCCCACTTGAATACCGGGCAGATAAATTCGTTGGCAACTCTATAAAATGAGACCGCGCGCGCAATTTAATTTATATACTAAAGATCGAGATCTCTGCGAACGAAATACGAACGGATTTCCTTTATCCGGGTCCTCGTCGATCAGCCATTTCTTGTATTGATCCCTCGCCTCTTTCACGCACGGCTCGTATCCGGCTCGACAAAGGAAGCTCTTGGCCATGCTCCGCATGTGAGTCTTCCAAGACGGTTCGTCCGGGTCCACGGATTTGTTAAGTTCTTCGTATAAAGGTTTCAACAGCGTTCGCGTATAAGCCTGATAAAGAGAATCAAATATGAATCGACGAACGATCGATAGGATTTACATCCAGGAATCGATACTCACTTCGAATTTCGGATAGACGTCGAAGCCCTCGATGCGTCTGCCGATGTGATCGATCATCATGAAGACCGGCTCCCACACCACGTGACTCCTTTCCTCTTTCAAAAACAGGGTCATGCTCAACGCGATCCTGAAGCAGAGTTCACCGGAGTACGCCAGATTCCAAGAGTCGTGAAGAAGCTTCGCTCTGGTCAGAACGGGAATTGTTTCGCGCTGCGGGCCTTGCAAGAATTGCGACAGCATCTTCCAGTTGCAGATGTCGTAGTTAACCGGGAACATGCCTGTAAAAGTCGAACAAGAGAATGTATCGTGATCTACGGCATTCGAATTCATACGTGTTACCTATCTCTTCAGGATTGACGATGACGAACTGATCGTCAGTGACGTTGTCTGGTACGGTGAGATTCTTTTCTGGTTTGTCCTTGATCAACCACAGGCGACAAGGTGGTCGGTACTCCAAGTTTTCTTGCGACATCATCACCAGCGGTATGTCCCACTCGTACGAGACTCTGGGGGTGAAAGCTCGCGGAGCTTCCCTCAGATAAACTTTCTGCAAACGATACACGATCGATCGCAGTGTTGTTACGTAAACACGCTCGTCTAATACGTTTGTTTAAATAATTGTTACGCATACGGGTTACACTTTATCATACGTATGATCGCCTAATTGGTATGCTAAAAAATTGTTTAATGACAGTTAAACGATGCGACCTCAGAGATTAAACGCGTTAACGTAACCATTAATGACCCGCCGCGCTCCGAGAGGATATCAGATTTTTTTTTTAAAGTTATCATTTTGATTACCCTGTACTCGATTAACACCGGTTTAATAGTTTCTCGAATGATTTTTCCGTGTTCAAGGGCAGAGTCTCACTCATTGTATTCCTACGTCTGGACGATAAATTGCCGCACATCCGTCCGGTTCGAGACGTGCGTCCGCGCGGCCTAAGGCGATGTGCAGGTAAAATAAACAAAATTTATTGACTTCGTCGCTTCCGATGAAAAATGAGGAACAGGCCGGGAAAACGTTTCGCGAAAACAATTAGCGAGGCACGCGAGAAGAGAGAAGTCGGCTTCCAGCGAAATGAATTCAGCAGCGCGCGTTTCCTCTTCGTCGACCGAGCGTTATCCGTGTGAAAATCGTACGGTCTTTCGCGTCCCTGAGGCGAGCAACGTCTCTTTCCTCGATAAGATTTGCGAACGTAACAGACGGGCAAACCGCATACCTGGTTGAACGTGATCGTGCGAGCCTTATAATCACGGTTGACCGTGACCACCGGTACCCTGTCCCGGTTGGTCCATCGGGCCGCGATGCTGTTTATCGTCGGATAGTTGGCCGACAGAATGCTCGTTTCGTTCGCCACGTCGTTCAGCCTGGTGTAAATCTCGTCCGCGAAGAACTTGCGCGTATCCCTAAACGAAAAATGATATCGAACACTGAGCAGGGTCGAAGGGCGAGTCGACGGGAATAACCGGGAACCAACGTTTCCTAAGGCGAGGGGACAACGCGAACATTTGATTCCCGGCTAAGAAATAAAAACAATGACTACGTTTGCGAGCACGATCTGAAGAAATGTCTGACCCCTTTCTGAAACAGATCCTCGCCGAGAGTGTAATTGAACATACGGAACACCAGTTCCTCTGCGAAAAGAGAACGACGTAATTAATCCTGCGAACCGATTCGTTCTGTCGATCGCGAGAGAATTGCCTGCCTGCCTTTTGCCAACATCGCCTCGTTCCTGATGCCGTTCACCCTCGAGAACGGTTCGAACTTGCCGAATTCGTAGTAAAGGGAATACAGCAGCGTCATCGGCCACTTCCCCTCCATCTCGTCCGGATTGATCTGTAAACGACACGTTCGAGTTTCGACCATACATATACACGTCTGACGATCATACGTACGTCCACCGTGGCCATCGAAGCTAAGAACGAGTTGATCGCCTTGTTCACCGATGTACCGCTCGTCCAATGACTCGGTGTGATGTACTGACCGATCCATTGGTAAACAAGCTCGTAGGCCGTGTTCCAGACCGACGGACTGCCCAATTCGCTTTCCCTGTGTTCAAATCATTTTTACGAATACACTGTCCGAACGTACATATTTTATAGTCCACGTACTTGAAAAGTATCAGACCCCAGCTGTCGGACGGTTTAGCCGCGTTATACATAGGTACCGCCATTAAGTCGAGTTTCGGCAATCCGATCGAACTGTTGAAGTAATCTTGAAAATAATTCATTATCTTGACAACCTTGTCTGGTGCGTCTTTCAAATGTTTCAGGAATTCCTTCCGTCCCCACACCTTGATCTCCAACTTCCTTCCATCCATTTCATTGATCTCCTGCGTGGGCGCGATGCTCTCAAGGTTGGACACCGTCAGAGCCAACTGGTACGTGGAAATTTTCGGCGTTTTCGCGAAATGGTCCCAGACCATGTCCGGCTGACCAGCTCTGAGCGAAACGAACGATATTAATTATTCCGACGATTGTTTATCACGAGTTCGAGGACCAGAGTCGTGTCAAAAATGACTTACACCTCTTTGCTGGTCTCCAAAGGAGTGTTTGAGAGCGCCGTCATGTTCTTCGGACGAAGTACGCTTAGCCTGAACGTCGTTTTGTAAGACGGCTCGTCCATCGAAGGGAACACGCCGTGCGCGTATCCCAATCTGAAATTGGTACCCACGAACGGGCTGAGCGAGACGAGAACGATCAATTCTTTGTTTCCCTCGTTTTCAGTGAATAAATCATTACTAATTACTATTTGTTTCCGTCGGCGTCGTTATACTCGCTCTTGAAGAAGCCGATGGTCCTGTCGGTGCTGAACTGGCCCGAAAAACTGATGTCTATCTCGAAGGTACTACCATTTGTCAGGATCTGTTCGAAATGGAGCGTGTACCAAGGTCTCGTCTCTTTGGGCAGATCGACCCTCGCGACGTTCACGTCCATCAACGGCAGACCCTTCTCTCTTTTTTGATAAACATACTTTACGATCGTTTCTATCTCCTCCAAGTGTGTACATTTTTTATTCACCTTTCCTCGTCCGACGGTTTCACGTGTCTGACACTGTAATTGGTGATCTTGAGGTTTGGGAGAGCGCGCAGAGTGAGCCTGTCGCTGCTGTCGAGCCAGGTGACGTTGATCCTGACTCGGCCTTTGAACTCGTAAGGATCGGCGAGGAACGGTTCGAGCTCGAGGTGATAGCTGGACAGCGACATTTCCTCCGGCAATCTGTGTCGGCGCATCTTCTCCTCCTTCTCGTAGACGTCGTTCACGTCTATGCTCCGCTTCGCTCTCCACGGTGTCTCCGCCAATCCATTCCTCTGGATTTTCAAACGTCCCTTACGATTCGGATTTTAGTAGGAAGCTCGATTACTTACACTGGGCTCGGCCTCGACGTCCTGCGACGAAACCAGGATCAGGAAGAACCCGGCGACAGCTGCGATCCACCTCATAGTTCTCCTGCGGACGCAACAGACTATTCGATACGAACGTTCGATCCCTTAAGAAGAATTTCGCACTCGGTGCGACTGTAACGCGATCGCGGGTATACTTCTTACTTCGCTATCCTCGTCCAACACGTCCGTAGTCGCATGCAGTCCGAAACCGCTTGACCTTGATACCGGTGATACCAATATTCTCGTTAGGACCGCGTCGGGACGCAGCCGCTCGCGAACTGCCCTCCTTCTTGCTTTTTCCAGCTGGACCAGTCCGCGGCGGCGACGGAAACCGGTGAAAAAATGCAAATGTAAAAAGTGTAACGGTACAGGGAGCAGAGAAAACGTGAACGAGCACGTGACCAGGGGGTAAACCGCGGCGGATCGGCGTCCGAAGCTGACGGGATTCAAAGCGCTTAGATCCACTTAGCCGCGTAATCGGTGGATCGTCGTCCATTATCCAATTCCATCGGGTGGACGTCACAAAAGGGCCTAATCACGACGACCGTGCCCGTCGGTGACGGACGAGGAGCGTAACGTCAATGGCCAATCCCGTGGTCATCAATGGAAATTGAGATGCCACGAGCTACTCCGCGTCTGCTACCAGAGGAACCATTGTGTATTCGTTTAGCGGATGAAAAGCCCGTCAATTCAGGTCCGAGCTTAGCGCTCGCTTCCGATTCGACGTCAATTAGAGACGATTTACCTTTGTCCGCGTTTTGTGCGCGTTTTCTCGGCCTGTTTAGATCAGGTATACAAACCCGTATGTAGGTAGCTGGGTCACATATTTTCTTCGACTTTCATAAGCGAACCCCTTTGAATCGAGCGACCGGCTATTTCCGTCATTACTCCAATCCCCTCTGATCCGCCGTTTCTATTCGAATTAATAAACCGCTCTCCGAGCGTAACGCAATTTATTATTTTGTTTTCGACATGTTTCCCATTCGCCGAATCGAATCGAACCTGATAGCATTTTCATGCGAATATAAAATGTAATGCAGGATCCCATAAAGAACGATACAGTAAATTGGAATGATCGTGCTCCCGAGACCCTGAAATCGGATTTCTTTCTTCCTTACGTATTTGTTTCCGTACGAGACGAGAAGGAAGGAATTACGAGCGAAAGAGTGGAACGATACCCGAGACCGAGGCAAGACGATTGAAAAAAAGTGGGGAGGCAAACAGTATTCGATGTGCCAGTTCGCCGTGTCGCATTGTAGGTGGAACGACTAATTGCGTTGCACCTGTACGAACGAAGCGCGCGACCCAGTGCCGTCTACGCAAATTTCGCCCGAAGTTCGACTTGAGGATTGCCAGACTTTTCCGCTTCGCACGGTTTTTTTCCGTTTCCCGCGGCTCGACAATCATTTTCTTCGAGCATACCATCGCTCGTCGCACGCGATCTCTCTAGTAGTTTCACGGGAATCAAAGTAACCGGAAGCTGATCACATGAGCCGAGGATCCATTTGCAGCTGGCAGGATTATGGACGCAGAAGTTGTAAGTGATTTCATTCTCGGTTTCATTTACGGGACGCGAAATACCGCGCGCTTGGCAACTGTTTATCTATCGAGCGTTCATCGTTGGAATTCTAATTGCTGTTCATTACCCAGCGATTACGAGAACTCGGATGATCGTTCGACGCGCGGCTAAAATAAGATTGACGATTGCGCGGAAAATCATTTCATTAGGCGATTCTGATAGACGTTCGTACGTTTGAATTAAATTTCGATAGGGCGAAGGTGGCGACCGGTGAACAGGAGGCGCTTCTGAAACGATAAACAAGCAAGATAGTATATGTTAATGAGGAGATAAAAATGCGCGACAGCCGCGGAACGTGGTAAATTCAAACAAAATGTTGAAACACATTTCTAAACGAATATTCATGAACCGGAGATAGCCACTCGTTTTTACACCGTTTGTCATTTAAACCGCGCGTCGTCGTAGGAGTGAAGTTAACTTTGTTATTTTCGCTTAATTTATTCCTCCTTGAACATTTTATCATTATCGTCGAAGGCATTTCAGCAGTAAACTTGGGCATCCAGTTCGCTGGTGGTAAAATCATTATCGCTGCCATTGTAAGCTTTATCTTTTAATGAAATACATATGAAAGCACACAATGGCTTCTATGACCGACCGGTTTAGAACCGATAACTGAAATCCAGTGTGATTCGTCTCGCTTCTTATCGTCATATATTTTCGTCGAAATGAAAAATTGTCATAAATATTAAAAGCTGCGTGGCTCGTTTAAGAAACGGGTAGTCGGAACATTTTTTGTTTCATCGTTCATTAAAATCAGAGATACGATCGTTCGCAGACGTTTCTTTCGTCGTGAACGGTTCGCTCGTTATTTTCTTTGACGATAATTGCCGCGTGTCTCTCGAGCGTAACCGATGCCGTCGTGCAACATCGACGATAACAGAGCGTCTTATACTTTACGAGGAAATCGTAAGTTTCCGATCAATGGAGCAGTCTAGACTCGTAGTGGCACGTAATGGCCAATCGCGTAGTGTAATCCTGAGAGGAAGCATGCGATTACAGTTATTATGTGGCACGGTTGCACCAGTGACGATCCGCGTTACACGTGTAACCGCGGAAGCGTAGCGGTGCATACTTTCATGCGCGATTCAACGACGAATCGCTTCAACGTTCGATACGGACACGTTTTTAAGTTCACGTTGTTCCATTTGCCAGGGAAGTAATTAAACTGCGCATTATTCCTCCGTTATATATAATCATCGCCGAGGCGTTAACGAGCCGATGATAATTCTAATAGGCAACTTTTACTCCAAGCAATTACCATAAATTGGCATCGTTATACTACTGTTCGCCGTCGTCATATTTTATCGAGGCTCCCGTAACGTCCCTGTTCGAAGAGTTTAAACAATGTGGTTGTGCAAAAGCCTGTTTGTTTACACGGTTGGTCACGTACCACGTGACACAACGTGTAACACCATGTCCGTGTCGTAAAAAACCGCACGTCCGTTTATTCGCATAATACGTAATGCGGCGAAGCCACCGTGTAAGCGTAGTAACCTTCGGCCGCGTCGCACGCGCCATCGTTGCAGGTACTCATGTACGTACACGTCCCAGGTACTCGTTCCGCGCCGGAGTAATTCAATGTCGCGCGAACGCGCGAATATCGCCTAGTCTCGTTCATTGGCAGTAAATTCTAAACAACCTTGCCTTCGTTTAAACAATGCCAGAAGGGAACTTGTATCGAGTTTTATAAAAACCCGCGGGAGCAATTAAAAATCGTACTCGACGAGTCTTGCGAACAACGCGTACACTTGACGCTGATTTACGCTCACGTTCATGGCGAGTCGTAGCCGCGTGATAAGAATTCTGTGGCACAATGCGTTCACCACTTCGACACCACGTTTTACGCGGCGTGTCGAATACTTTGGTCACGTCTCACCGCGAATTACGTTTAATCCGTTCTGTCGGAGACGTCGAGTTGGTCCTGGCCAGCGTTACAGCTGGACGTCGGATCAATTGGGTGCGACGCGAAGATCCCTTGCCATCGGGCGATCGCCGTTCATTATCGATGCAAACGTCGATTTATCGGATGAATCATTTTCACGGGGGTGGAGGACTTAGTAGGTAAGGTTCAATCAGGAGGAGTAAGGAACAATGCCATTGCGATTCCCAAACGTCGAGAACGGCGGAAACTTGTCCCACGGGGTGGTTGCAATACGACCCTTCATATTATTTTGCAAGAAATACGATTGAAACGTTTCATGACGGAAACTCAGGCGGATTGACGTGTTCTCGAAATGATTCCTTTAGCTCAAAGCATGCCACAGTTCAGTGGCGGTCCGGTGGAATTTATGACCAGCGACGACATCGAGCTGAAGAGGGGCGATGGTTGGTTCTTGTCGTACACAAAGATAGCGGGGATCGTCGTGGTTTTTATCATCGGTGTCGTCGCCGCTGGATTCCTGGGATGGTACATCAATTCCTTGCCAAAGAAGGAAGTGAGTAACGCGAAAGGGGAAAGACCTGCAGGTCGGAATTCCAATTTATGATTTCTCGATCTCGATCCGTTGATTCGTTCGACAGGAGTTTGATTCGGTGGATCTGTCGGACGATGAGATCGAGGGTGCCGTCGACGAGACTCTGGCCTCGCCGTTCGTGATTCCCTTGAAGTATCGTCTCGAATTGATCCCGATCATCGACGTTACCGGATCGTCGAGGCTGAAGGGTCGCGTGGTCATCGACTTTCGAGTAAACGACACGACGGGCTTGGACAGAATCACGTTGAACGCGGGCAACGTTACGGTGACGAATTACAAACTGTCGAATCTGGAAACGCCGATGAAAAAAAGGCGATCGATTATCGTCTACGTTTCCAGCGGTTCCAGCGAGTTCAACGATTTCAGCGGTTCGTACAAATGGGTTCTCTACGATTAGTTTGGTAAATAAAGGACGACTTGGAATCGGGATTTCGTTTACGTATGCGTTTTAATTGCTCCAGGGGGACGCGTGCTACGATCCGTGAACGATAACTCGACCGAGGACTCGATACAAGAAGATGCAGAAACGGAGAATGCGTCCGAAGCTACGACTCTCGCAGAAGCAGATAATCAAACGACGGCGACAGAAACGACGATAACGACGACTGAACAACCAATTACGGTTACGACCACCTTGAAACCGACGACTGTACAAACGACTACGCAAACGATCGTCGAAACAGGATCATTGCCTACCGATGATGATTCATCGAGAATACCGATCGCGAGCTATGATGTGGACGAGGACAAAAAAATTCTCACGATTCGTTTAGACAGTCAGATTCAGCAAGGAGTCTACGAGCTGGATTTGGAGTACGAAACGGCGATGGACGAGGGAGAATTCTTCATCGCGAATTACACCGAGGACATGTGAGCCGAACATTTTATCGAGAGAATAGATCGGATATTATGGACGAGAAAAATTGAATTGATTTCTGTCGATGTTCCTTTGTCAGGTGGTTAATGGGAACGAGATTAAGGCATTCCGGTGCCAAATACCTGTTCCCAGTTTTCGATGACACGGTGCACAAGTCAGTTTTCTCTGTATCCGTGGCACGTTCCAAAGAAACGAGAGTCCTCACAAACATGCCCTCCAGCACTCTGAGAGACACGTAAGTAATTCCTGCCGTGTCTTCCCGCGGCGTTCGATGAAAAACCGATCGTGTTCGAAACCACATCGCTACGACCCGCAAACAGTCGAGAAGCTTTTTGCTGCTCGTATCAAATTCTCGCCTGTCCTTCGAAACGAACGTACTTAGTAATTTTCGTTTGAAGCACGGACGGTTCGGTCCTCGAAACATTCAACGATTCTGTTCCGCTTTCGACGAACGAGCTGGCCTTCCTGATGGGCCACGTGAAGCCTATGAACGAGACGGTCATCGGGAACACCGACGCGGTGGCAACGTTCTGGTGCGAATCGAACAGAGACTTACATGACAGTTACCTCCTCGACAAACTCGGCTCAATCGTCATTAACTTGATCGACGTGTTCTCGTTGGCTTACCCATTGCCCAAAGTGGACATAGTCTGTCTGCCTCCAGGGATCGACGAGAACATGGCCAGCCCCGGATTAATCGCGATCAAGTAAGACTCACTGTCATCGCCTCCCGTCAATTACAATTAATAATTCTATTTGAACTCGAACATCGTTCCATAGATCTTACGTCGATCGATACGATTAAACTTGTCTCGAGTCTGAATCTTACAAACTATTCTAATTTTAATTATCGAAATTGAACTACTGTCATTGTCAAGGCAATCGTTGTTTAACACCGCCGATAAATCGTCGCTGGTCGTCAAGTCTCGCGCGCTGAAGGACTTGATCAACCTGATGGGACAGCAGTGGTTCAGCGAATTAGTGAACGTGAACCGGTCGGAGGAATGGATCCTCGGGGGTTCCCTGATTCACTTCCAACACAGGATCGTTCCAGAGGCAAGCGACGGGAAACGTTCGAACGGGGAAAAACAGGAAGACAGCGTCGTAAATTGTTTGTGATAAATTTCCATTTTCAGATAGATCCGTCATCAAACTTGGCCGACTCTTTCCTGGTCGATGTTCAGCAGTACGTGATGGAAATCGACGGGTATACCGTTTCAAGGCCGCTGCGCGAAAACGTCAACAATCATTTATTAGAATCGCTGAACGACGAATACGCGAAAGGTAAACTGTCGTCGTCGTTTTCACGAGGGATCACCCATTGCATACAGGCTGAGTCAACAAGGAGTAATCGTCTATCGCAAACTCGTTACACGAATTTGTCCATACGTAAATTGAGAACAATTACTGTTTTAAAATATTGCTTGACTCGCTCTGTATGCATCTCGACCGTAAACCTTGCGGTGATCGTGTGAGGGAAACGTTTCTGCATTTCTTTTAATTGGTTCTTGTAGGTGCATGTCTGATACGCATGTTGCATGGAGCGATAAGCGATACCGCTTTTAGGAACGGCTACAAGAAACTGATAAACAGGTGGTGGGTATTATGTGACTCGCGGAAAACGAATTTCATACCGATTTCAATTAACAGTTGTTCGACGAGAACTGACGTAAAAGCGAGTCGAGGCGAACGTCGAAGCTAATTGTAATTAATCGTCTGCCTCGCGATTATTAATAGCCTCTTTTTCCCGAAACGCAAACATGCTCGTTCTCTAATTTATTACTCATCCGTACTCGTCGGCGACGTATCGAGACGGCTTCATTGTCGGAAAAAAGAATCCTCCTGCGCGATTATGTTAATCGGACTTCTCACTGTATTCTTGATCACGAGTCTCTGCGGACTGCGAGAAAAATATTGTCTGCGCAGGAGGTACAACGCCACGGATCTCGCTGATTTTATGAATATCCTCAAGGAGGAGACCGAGCTTCCGGATAAAATCTCGCTCGAGGAGGCGATGAACTCGTGGATCTCCCAAGGCGGACACCCGCTCGTTACCGTCATGAGAAATTATGAAGAGAGATCCATCACCGTTTATCAGGTAGCGTACGCGACGATTCTTGGATCTGGCGGGATGAACGTCGTTTCATTTTTTAGGAACAATTCTCTCTCGACAAACCGTCAGAGAGTACATCGAAATTCTGGCAGATCCCATTGAATTATATTAACAGTACGGGCAATTGGTCGTCTCCTACCACTCTGTGGTTCCCAGCGGAGCCGAGAATCACTTTCTACCACGTAGATCCGAACGATTCTTGGATACTTTTCAACGTGAATAAGACTGGTACGCGATGAATTAATTTTTTATCGCGGGAGATGGTCGTGTCGTAAGAATCCGCGGTCCACCGACGAAGTATTCGATAGGATCATAGATGAAAATTGTTTCCACGTTTATTTCAACCAAGGTTATTACCGGGTGCATTACGACGAGAAAAATTGGATGCTATTAAAAGCAGCGCTGGCGGAGAATCATGAGTTGTTCCCGGTAGAAACGAGAGCATCGCTTATAGACGACGTTTTCAGTCTGGCCGCGATGGGCGTGATGAAATACGAGGCCGCGTTCGCCTTTATTAAATATATGCAAATGAGGGAAAGGCATTACCAACCTTGGGCCGCGTTGACGCGGCACATGCTCAAATTGAGTAGGCTTCTGTACGAAACTTCGGTGTTCAACGATTTCCAAGTGAGTAACCCCCCGGGAGAGTCGCGCGATTCGAAAGTTAGGCGTTCGTTTATCTTTCCTCTCGAACGATTTTTTAAGGATGTATACGCTATACATATACTTAAACAATGCTAGCATGTTGAATTTGTTATTATAGATTCCTATTACTATTAAAAAGCTAAAATTATAGTGATTTCAAATTTTTCATAGGTAATAGTATCATCTACAACTTTTACTTGAAGCATTTGTCGAAATTCCGCGAAAAAAAAATTTTCGATTTTTCCGAGATTTTTCCAAGGGGTACCCCTTCAGATTTCGCGAAATTTTCGTTTTTTGCCAATAACTT